GTCATTTCCAGGTACGTTTGAGTGTCCGGGAATCCACTGCATTACTAGATTGACGCCACAGAATGTTATCAGATGATGGGATCCAAACAGTATATGGGTCAAGTCTTCGTTTAGATGGTGATCATTTTCTATTGCTTATTGCTTGCACGACTGATAGTGAGTCAGTGAAGATCACTATACTCTGTGTTTTGTTTGGATGAGTGTCAAAAACTGTGCGGAGATGGTACAGTACTGTTTCAATTGCTATCATTTCTGCATTGCAGTTGCTGCATTTCTCTCCACAAGCTGCAGAGATCTGATTGGAACTTCCATCTGGGTACTGTATTAGTATTCCATATCCGGCTTTGGTTGTGCCTTTGAATGCTGAGCCGTCCGTATAGACGTGTATCCAGTCATCTGAATAGCTGTCGATTGTTTGATGTGATGCAAGCATCAGTGTCACTGCGTCTGAAGATTTTGTGCTCTTGTCTCTGAGAGAAGTTTTAATGATCGGTTTTTCCATAGAAATGTGGGGAGGGATGTTTTGGTTGACTCTTTTGGTTTCTCTTCTGTTTTGTGGTAGATGGTGGCTCTCCATTAGTTCTGTGACGTGATGCATGACTGATTTTTGCTGAAGTTGTTTCTTTGGTTTCCATGTTTCTACTAATTTCCTGTTTGGGTGGTTGGGGCACATTCTTTTGGTTCTTTCATGTAGCTCCAAAACTGCTTTATCTCTGCGTATTCCCAGGGGTTCAACATTTGATAGAATTTCACATGCGGCAGTAGGTGTAGATCTCATGCCGCCATTTATAAAACGAAGGGCATTATTTTGGACCTTGTCAAGGGTGTTGCAAGTAGTTGCACTACACATAGTGAGTAGGCTATTGCTGTATTCCAGGGAAGATCGGACATATCCAAGGTATAGAGCTCTCAGAGTTTGTTTGTCTGATCCCCATGAACTGCTCGCAAGTTTCTTTAAAAGTTGGAGTCTTCTTTTCGCCTTGTTCTTTATGCTCTCCACTTGGCTTTTCATTGTTAGACTTTGGTCAAGTTTGACTCCTAGATATGTTGGTTGTTCTTCTTTGGGGAGACTTTTATTTCCTATCTTCAGTTGGAGTTTTTCTTTGGCTGTTTTATGGCTCTTTGTAAAGATGGTGTTTACTGTTTTCGAGCAGTTTATTTTGAGCTCCCATTTCTGACAGTAATTGTGGAGCCTCTTGAGGTCTTCATTTAATTTCCCTGCTCCTACTATCGTGCTGTGATGTGTCTGCCAGAGAGCAAGATCATCAGCGTAGAGAGTCTTTTCTGATTTCAGCACGTTCGTCACATCATTAATGAAGATCAGGAACAAAGTGCAACTCAGACAGGAACCTTGGGGTAGGCCCTCCTCGAGTACTTCTCTTGACGAGTGGGCATTGTTCACCTTTGTTTAGATGTTTCGATCCGCTAGGAAAAACTTGATCCATTTATAAAGTTTCCCGTGTATCCCGAGGTCCATCATTTTCATGAGTAGGCCTTTTCTCCACACTCTGTCGTACGCCTGTTGGAGATCTACAAAGATGGCAACAGTGTGTTTACTCTCCTGGAAACCATCCTGGATGTCTTGACTTAGTTTGAAAAGCTGGTCTTCTGTGTTGCTGCCTTTTCTAAAGCCTGCTTGGTGTGGGTTCAAGCTGTTGGAGTTTTCCAGGTAGAGGCGGTTGTTCACCATTCTTTCGGCAAGCTTACCGATACATGATGTTAGTGATATAGGTCGGTAGCTCTTCGCTTCTCCAGGTGGTTTCCCCTTCTTTAGGAGCGGTATGATCTGGGCGATCCTCCATGCCTTTGGTATTCCGCTCGTTCTCCACGTGGTATTTACTAAGCGGCGTATGACATCTTTTCCTTTAGCACCAAGGTTGCACAGCATTTCGTTGCGTATTTTGTCCGGTCCTGGGGCTTTCTTTTGCTTTAATTTTTTGAGGGCCTGTCCAAGTCCAAGTTCCATCATGCTGAAATCCTCCTCAAAGAGGGTGTTGTTCACGGTAGGGGCTTTTTCTTCATGCTTAGCCTTGTTTATGAGGAGTGTATCGGCCTCAGTTAGTCTACTTGCCCTGTTTACAGAGGCGAAATACCGGTTAAAATGTTCAGCTTTCTTCTGGTCTTCTGCAATGGTGTTGCCTGAAAGGAAAATTGGTTTGGGGTTTCTTTTTTGTCTTTCTCCCGAGAGGTTGCTTTGACAAGGGACCAAGCCTTTGTTCCATTGTGGCGAAGGTCAAGATCTTCGCAAGTCTGGGTCCATTTTTCATTTTTGGCTTTTTTAACTGTCATTTATTTTCACCTGAGCGCAGGTCTTGCTATAGTGTGTTCTGGCTATTGGTGATGGTGAGTTTCCAGTAACTGTCTGGCCTTCTCTCTTTCTGCCACGGCAGCCTGGATTTCTTCATTCCAAAAGGGTTTGTAATTTCTTCGGCATCCCCGTGGAATGTGCAGAGATGCGGCTTTAAGAATATTTTTAGTGACTTGTTCATTAAAAAGATCAGCATCATCTGTTTCTACTATGTTAGAGAGCAATTTGTCTGAGGTCTTTTTGTATTCTGCCCAGTTGGCTTTCTTAAAGTTCCATTGAGTTCTCCGAGGGTGGTTCAAAGCAGGTGGGGAGGTGATCTGCGTAAAGATAAGCCTGTGATCACTACCTATGTCATCAATCACTTCGATGCGACAGGCGTTTTTTTATGTCAGATGAGCAGATGGAGAGATCAGGCCTACTGAGAGTCAAGTGGGCTCTGTGAAGTAGGGTAGGAGTGGAGTTAGCATTTTGCAACACGGAGAGGTTGCTGGTCCCACAAAGCTCTTCGGTCTTTCGGCCTGTGCTGTTGTAGCAGGTGTAGCCCCATTCAGGGGAGTGGCCATTGAAGTCACCCGCACAAATGGTTTGTCCGTAGTTAGTTGCTTGTAGATCAGACAAGTCGCATGTTGTCTGTGGAGGGCTGTAAACATTGTAGATTGTAAACTTCCTACCAATGTGCCATATGGTGGCCTTCTGGATATCTGTCGGTTAGGCAGATGATAAGTGTACGACATCTCCCTGAATATCGTTCCGCAGGTAAGTGACTACACCG